TATCTCAATTTCCATAACAATTTCAACCTAATTGGTCGTTCCAGTTCAATAGTATCGATACTACTACCCTGGTACCGATACTTCTATACTATGGTATCGATACTCCTTTATGGTATCGATCTCAATTTTAGGTTTGAAGTTGCCTAGTATTGATACCTTATCATGGTATCGATACTATCATACTATGATACCGATACCCCCTTCCGGTATCGATATCAATTTTAGATTCGATGTTGCTTGGTATCGATACCCTTACCATGGTATCGATACTACCTCGTTGGAATCGATACTGATTGAATCAGTATCGATACTACTCAACTAATTCATTCCATTTTAGCCTATAGTATCAGTAATGTTCTATCAGTATCGGTACTGTTCTATCAGAATCGATACCCTTGCCCATATTTTCCAATTTTTAGCACGAATATCACCCAAATGAGGTTAAATTTCATTATATAAACACCATACAATGCTATTAAATTCTTCTTTAACTATCCATAATAACATTCCTTCATTTATCCTCTTAAAATATCTAAAATCTTTCAAGAACATTCAATTCTAAGAATCACACCACTTTTCCTAATATGTTCTTAATACTGTCTAATGCTTCTAATCTCTTAATTACCTCTTTGACAAGGCAAATCTACCAATGAACATAAAAAAACACATATATTAACATATCACTTCAAAACCCATTTTCTAAAATTTTCCATATTTCCTCCATTTCATAGTTTTAACCTTATTTAATCCTTCATTAAGCTTACCTATCACTTGATGTTACCAAAGCAACACATAATTTAAAGAAAGAACTAGATAATTGAAGCTTACCTTATACCATGGAGGAGAGCACTACTCACGTGAAGAAGAAGAAGAAGAAGAAGAAGAAGAAGAAGAGAAATGCTCTATTTTCCTCTTTTTCTGCTATTTAAATTCATTCATCTTCTTAAAACACTATTCCAAATCATTTGGTGTAATTTAAGTTTTTACTCGCTTTTACAAAAATTTTCTTATTAGCCGTGAGCTAGCAATGATTCAATTCCATAAGTTTGAATTGAAAAGCATTTAAGACCCTTCGGGTTACATTCTCGATTTTCTGTTTTATTAGTTTGGCAATCGACCTTACTTTCAAAATTAAAATGCTTTCATATCAAAAAGTTGATGTTGGTCTGAATTTTGTTTTAATTTATAGTTGGGAGGAGAGATCGACCTGTGGCATATTCGACCTCCTATGAACACACTTAGTGGCGGTCCGCTAAGGAAAATCATGATCAGATTCGATTCTCGACGAGACGACATAATCCGATTCGGGTTTTTTCAAAACTTAAAATGTTTATTCTAACGACAGTAGTTGTGGTTAGTTCATTCAAGAATCAACTTTCGAAGAGTGACTTGGGAAGATCGGTTTCTAAAGAGAAATGCAAGTTACAATGGGTTGGGCTTATAGACTGTAACCAACATGAATTTCGTGGGAAAAATCCATTTCGATGATCAAACGGAATTGAAATAAAGCTCGGGGTGTTTTTCTTGTTATTGTTTTCAATCTTAATTATATTTCTTTTTATTTTATTTCAATTTAATTCTTTATTTTCTACTAATGACTTTTTTGTCTCTCATTCGCCAAACCCCCTTTTATTTATTTTTCTTACAGTTGCTTGGATTGGAATCGAGACGTAAAATTATATCGGGTGTTCCTAAATCCTCGTAGATCGACCCTTTTCTCTATATTACTTTATTTCTATTTTCTTATTTTGAGAAGAAGATTTTATTTAACGAGTAAAACGACGCTTGTCAAAGAATGAACAAAAACCATGAATCGTACCATGAGCCTTGCATCAAATCACCATGAGAGTGGTGTTGATGGCGATAGAGATTATCATTCTTCCCAGCAGTGCAAGGATAAATTTCCAAAAGGGATGCGATGGCAAGAAAAAAAATTCTAGAATGAATTTTCATTTTTTTCATAGTTACCTCATCATCAATTGACTTTGATATTTAAAGAATACATCTTTATTTTTTTACAAAAAAATTATATTCGGATAACCATGTCTACAAAACATGTATATATTATCAATAATTAAGAAAGAATATATACATATACTACTTTATAATTACTTCAAAATATTAAAAAAAATAAACTAAAATCCTCCACCTTATTCTCTTAAATTTAAAAGAATCTTTATTTATAATTTTTAAAATCAATTAAATAATAAGCTAAAGGCTTCCACTTTATTTCTTTTCCAATTTTAAAAGTAAATTTATTTATTAGCATCTTGTTCGAAATAACAATGTTATATAAAAATAATAAGGTAGAGCTTTAAAATTTAAGTAAACTACGTATTTAGCTGCTCACATAATTCTGCGATCATATTTTTGCCATTTAATTGTTTCTTAAAAAATTACATCTAACATTACATTTTGATTATATTTTAATTATCCATCATTAAAAAAAAATTAAAAGTGACATTTATATGTCACAATATTAAAAAATTTAAAAAACTGTTAAGAGAGCTCAACATAAACCATTCTGGGCTAAAGACTATGTGCCCAAGTGAAGATTCTGCAGAGCATGGTGTTTTATTCTATTTTCAGCACTTTCTTGTTAGTTGGAATCATGGTTTCCTATTCTTTAGCATATTGTTATTTTGAGTCAAGTCTTCCTATTTTTTAGCAAGACTATTAGAATTTTCTATTGTTAGTGGGATAGTGTAGAGGGAGTTGAGTCGAATTTCATCTAGTATTTATATGTGGGTTATTTTCCATGAATGAATATCAGAAAATTGCTTCAACCATTATCCTACTTTATTCCTATATCATTTTTGGAGTTGAGTTCCCACTCGAAGTGGAACCACGTTCTTGATATCGCCTATCATTTTGGTTCTCTTGTTGAGAGGATGCCTCCAAAACACGGTTAGTCCAAACCACAGTTAGAGGAGCAATTTTCTACTCTAAACGATCAGTTCCAAGCTTTTCGAACTCAAACAAAAGAGATGCAAAATCAAGTTGCTCTCATTTCACCCATGCAAAACACTCTAACCCAACTAGCTACTATGGTTGAAGGTATTCAACTTCAACTCACCCAAGCCATGAAACATAGTGAACGTGAAATAGGAAAATCTGAAAACTCCACAAACAAAGGTCCATACCAATACAGCTCTCCCAAATCTACCCTTAACCTATAGTCCACAAACCCAATGTCCTCTGTTAAACCCCCTAAATTGAGTCTTCCACCATTTGACGGATCCAACCCATTAGATTGGATTTTTCAAGTCGAACTATACTTCAACTATTATCAACTACCACCCGAAGATCAGTTGAGTACAATCTCATTCCATATGCAAGGTCAAGCCTTGAGTTGGTTTATGTGGATGTATAATAACCAACAACTAACGACGTGGGACGCTTTTGTTTGGGCCTTAGAAATGCGCTTTGGACCATCGTCTTATGATAACCACCGAGCAGCCCTATTTAAGCTCCGTCAAACAGGTATGGTCACAGACTACCAAGCAAATTTTGAGAATCTCTGTAATCGTGTTACAGGGCTACCAAATAAAGCTATTATATATTGTTTCTTGTCGAGCTTAAAACCAGAAATTCATGAAGAATTAGCCATCCTCAAACCTAGCACAATATCCCTGGCTATTGGCCAAGCCAAACTAATATAATCCACACTTCAAGATCACCGAGACCGCTCTAATCCTGGGAGCAGATTTCCTTTTAACCCAAACACTCTACCTGCACAAAATCAACCAAACAAAACCCTTGTACCTTTATTGCCATCCCCACCAAGTAATAATATGCCTCCAGTTCGCCGCCTAACCCGAGCAGAGGCAGTTGAAAGAAGGCTCAAGGGCCTGTGTTATAACTGCGAAGAGAAATATGGACCAAGCCATATATGCAAGGGAGCTCAATTTCTGCTCCTAGTCGTAGACGAGGAAGAACAATCATATCAGTGCCTCATAACCAAGCTCAATGTCATACTATAATAGATTCGGAGTTCTATATCTCACTTGCCGCCTATTTCGGACTCTCAAGTCCAAAAACACTAAGAATGAGCGGATAGATCCAAGGTCAAGTATACTCAATGTTAATTGATTCCGGAAGTACTCACAATATCATGCATCCCCATGTCGCATCTTTTTTGGGACTTCCAATTGTTGCAGTCCCAAGTTTTCAGGTAATGGTGGGAAATGGTGAGTTGATCAAGTGTCAAGGAAAATGTGCAAATGTGATGGTGCATATTCAAAGATGTTGTTTCGAGATTTTTTTCTTGGTGTTGCCTATTCAAGGGGCTGATTTGGTGCTTGGCGTAGAATGATTAAGTTCATTAGGTCGCTTCGTCTCGGATTATTCAATCCCAAGCATGGAATTTACATACCAAAAAAAATATGTCAAATTAATCGGAGGCCAAAATCTATCTATAATTACTTCTTCTCAACTAAACCGCATGTTGCACACAGGTTCCATCATGGCGACACATGCACTCATTTACAAACAAACCCACCAAGTCCGATATTAGCCAACCAAAACAGTAACACAAATTACCCACCCCTGGACATATTTTTAACTAAGTTCAACATTATTTTCCAACCACCAACTAAATTACCATTACCACCTTCCAAAAACCATGATCATCATATACACCTCACTTTTGAATCCAAACCGGTGAATGTCAAGCCATACTGCTACCCTCACTATAAAAAACCATCATGACTGAACTTATACAAAATATGTTGAAAGATGGGATTATCCTCCCCAACCATAGTCCTTATTGTAACATCCTCAATACCGGGTTAGTGACTAAATTGTAAAATTAAGAATTTGATGACTAAAATAAAATAATTAAATAGTATTGTAATTTGTTATAGGGTTAAATTGCAAAGAATAAAGAATAGAAGGATAGAATGGTATTTTGCAAGGAAAAATAATTAAAGAATGGATTTATATATTAGCTCCACGTGGAAGAGAAGAAAGAAAAACAAGGTTCCAGAGTTCTCTTCTTCTCTTCTTTTCTCCTAAACGTGAAAAGGTCATAACAAATGTGAGATTTTTTATGAGTTAATTGTTTGCTGAAATATAAGTTTTGTTTTGATCCTTAGATGCTAATTAACCTTAAGGAAAGCTTAATTTTCTTTAAAACAACAAGATGAAAGGTGTAGGAAGAATTAAAGATTAGGAGTTCTTGAATGGAATTTTTAAAAAGAGTTCATATTTGAAATCGGAGGTTGAATTTGACTTGTCATTGACTTAATTAAGACATACGAAGTGTTAAAATTAGATTTAGAACATGTTGGAAATTGAGGGAGATTCTTAAAATCTATGTGAAGGATTGGATTTTTAAGTTTAAGAGGTATTGAATGGGTATTAATTAGTTTAAGTAGGTATATGCAAGTTAAGGATATAAAAAGAGGGGAAATATGAAGTGTTGAGAAGATTATAAAGAGATTTTCATGCTAAAATAACATTTATGGGCTATGTGCATCGATACACATTCAATGTGTATCGACGCATCAAGGGTAAGAACCCAGAAATTGTTCAATGTGCATCGATGCACATGAAGTGTATCGATGCACTCCTTTAAAATAAAAACATCGAATGTCATCAGTGTATCGATGCACAAGTGGTGCATCGATGCACCCCCTAAAATACAAACATCGAATGAGATTTATGTACCGATGCATAGTTAGTGCATCGATGCACCCGTTAAGGGATACATCGATACATGGTATAGTGCATCGATGCATACCTTCATTAAAAGATAAAAATAGCTTTCTTTTTAGCCTAAGGAGTGATAGTTTAGAATATATTAATTAGTATATTGATTAGTACCAATGTATTACCATGTAGATATAGAACGTAATTTCGTTCCGGAACAAACAAAGAAATAGGATCAAGTTAAAACAAGCAAGGCCAAGGTGGGTGCATATCCTAGATGAAATGGAATTGAGATAAGACTTGCGATAAGTCTATCTCTTATCATTGAATTTATGATTTGTATTCATGCACATGCATACATATATAAATGTTAACGTTATAGTGATTCCATGCATTTTTCATTCATGATTAACATGATATTATATGAATGAATGCCATTATTAGAGAATTCTTTCAGGTATGTGAAATAATGAAAATGATCATATGAAGTGAATTATTTGTTTACATGGAAAGTGATGAAAGAGATATGAAATAAGAAATGTATTTATAATTAAGCCCATGTTATTTAATATGAGAGTTATAGGTATAATTGGCATGCCAAGAGTCGAGGGATTATCAGTGGTCCTTCGGGACATAGTGGTTCTTCGGAACAATTAGTGGTCATTCGGGATAAATTTTCAGTGCCCCTTGAGGGAATTATACGAGCTGTGGTGACAGCATAGTGCACAACCTCTATGTACTCACATACCTTTGTTCTTAATAATGTACATGGGCAATCCAAAGATAAATAAAAGTGAAATTAGCATAAAAATGTATGTTTTATATGTGCATGTTATCATCATATATGTTATAGTGTAATAGATATATGCAATTTGAAATGTTATGATCAATGGTAAGAATGCATGTTCATAAATTCATTGTTATACATGTGTATACATATATTTATGTTATGCCTCACTAAGTCTGTGACTTAGCGTGTAAGTGATTTACACGTAGGTACCAAGAATCGAGAAGAAAAAAAATAGGAGTGGCAAGAACAACAGCACTACTAGAAGATCAGATCAGAAGTAACTGATAAAGTATGTATTTTATTGTGTATAGTGTGTTGGCATGTAAGAAAAGTGTTAGTTACAAATGCTCTGATCAGTTTTGTCTTGTTTTGGTTAACATGTGTAAAGTAACAATGTTATTTTAATGAAAGTTTTAAATTTCCTTGATTTTTCGTCAAGAGTCAAAGTTTGAAAAGTCAATGTGACACCTCAGACTCGTATCCGAGCCGGGTACGGGTTGAGGGTGTTATATTTAATGGTATTAGAGCTACGGTTTAGTCGATTCTCGACATAAACCGAAGTCTAGAGTGTCCTATAAAGTATACATGCCAACAAAATAGTGAAAACTTCTGACCTGATATAATAGTAAGTATGTTGTTTTGCTGATAGAATGATATGGGTATATTTTTTTATAGATGTCCGAACATGGTAGCTCTAGAAGTGAAGAGAGAGATGATAGGCCCGCTGAAAGTAGTAACTCACCTACCCTGGCCAGGCAAAGTGAAGATCAGGCACCCTCTGGAGTGCTTGTAAGTGATCAAGATGTGTTCTTCAGAACACTGGACGCGGTATTAGCGCGTTTCCAACCTTCTGTTACTTCAACTCCAAGAATGAATGTTTCAAATGAGTTGAAAGGTTTAGGAGCACCAGGGTTTAGAGGTGAAGCCGAAGAAGGTCCTGTTAATGCGGACCTTTGGCTTAATGACGTAAAAATCATGCTTGAGGGACTTCATTGTTCCGATGCTGATAAGCTAGATGGAGTGGTTTCCTTGCTGAGAGGGCAAGCAAGGATTTGGTGGACCAACATTACATTGAGAATGACTAGTGATCAGGTAACATGGTCCTTGTTCTTAGAGGAATTTAAACATAAATACATCGGAGATCAATTCATCCGACAAATTAAGCAAGATTTTATGAACTTGAAGCAATGTAATCGTACAGTGTATGAGTATGAATGTGAATTCAACAAGTTGAGCCGCTTCGCTGCTGAGTTAATTCCTACAGAAAATGATGTCTGTGATTGGTTCGTGGAAGGTTTACGTCCAAGACTGAAGGAAATGTTAATTGTGTTAAATCTATCCTCATTTCAAGAAGTGGTGAACTGTGCTAAAGTTCTAAAAAGAGCTCAGAATGAAAGGTTCAGAGATTCTCGGGCTTAGACATAAAAAATAATAGGTGCATCATCGAGTTCAACACTATCAAAAAGGGCCAGAGATGCTGGTTCTCGACCCCAAGCGAGATCAGAGTCAGTTAGATCCTCTGCAAGGGGATCAAATCAGATGAGGGGTCGACAGACACAATCAGTGGGATCTGGAGCTGGGAGATCTAACCCGAGCCAAGTCAGACAATGTCCACATTGTGGAAGGAATCATTCGGGGATATATAGAATGATTTCTGGAGGCTGTTTTAAATGTGGGGACACCAAACATTTTGTTCGGGATTGTCCCATGTTAGCGGGTGAATTTGCTCAGCCAGAGAGGTCTGCCTTTGCTACACAGAGAGGAAGAGGTAGAGGTAGAGGAAGAAGTCAGTCAAAATCCTCATCTCCACAAGAAATACGTTATACAGCTCGGGTGTATAATCTCAAGACTAGCGAGGTTAGAGATGACCCATAAATAATAGCAGGTATATTTCAGTTATATGACAAGAATGTGTTTTTATTGATTGATTCGGGGTCTATATATTCTTACATTTGTAGTAAGTTAGTGAAAGAATTGAATATTCCGTTAGAATCTACTAGCAGTGAGGTAATAGTGACTAATCTGTTAGGACGCAATGCTCGAGTCAATATGGTGTGTCGAGGGTGTCCCATACGGATTTAGGGAATTAAATTCCCTGCTAATCTGATGGAATTACATTTTGACAAATTTGAGGTGATACTGGAATGGACTAGTTATATCGTTATTACACTAATGTTGACTGTAGACTGAAAAGAGTAACGTTGAGAAGTTTAGAAGATATAGAAGTTGTTGTATTTAGTGAAGGATGGAACCCGTTGGCTAATGTAATATTAGTGATGTCGACAAAGAAGTTATTGCTACAGGGATGCCAAGGGTTTATTGTAAGTGTGCTGGATGTGAGAGAAAAAGAGAAGGGGATTGAAGAAATTCCTATAGTCAGAGAATTTTCTGACATTTTTCCTGTAGAGTTATCGGGTTTGCCTCCAGACAGAGAGATAGAATTTCAGATTGAAGTAATGGCGGGAACTTCACCTATTGCCATGTCACCATACAGAATGGCCCCAAAAGAGTTACAAGAATTAAAGATCCGATTACAAGAATTATTGGACAAATGGTTTATCATACCGAGTGTCTCACCATGGGGATCTCCAGTTTTGTTCGTCAAAAAGAATGATGAATCCTTGCGTCTTTGCATTGATTATAGGTAACTCAATAAAATGACCATCAAGAATAAATATCCCTTCCCCCCGAATTGATGATTTGTTTGATCAGTTAAAGGGAGCTTCAGTGTTTTCGAAGATTGATTTACATTATGGGTACCATCAATTAAAGATTCAAGATAAAGATATTCCAAAGACAACATTCAGAATGAGATATGGTCACTATGAGTTTATCGTAATGCCGTTATGAGTTACAAATACTCCAGCTACTTTCGTGGATCTTATGAATCGAATATTTCAACCATATTTGGATGAATTCATTGTGGTATTCATTGATGATATTTTAGTGTATTCGAAGTCGGAAGAAGAGCATAGTTCGCATTTGAAGATCGTTCTACAGACTTTGAGAGAAAAAAAGCTTTATGCCAAACTCTCCAAATATGAATTTTGGTTGAAGGAAGTGATGTTTCTTGGACATGTGATTTCTGTAGAAGGAATTCGAGTGGATTCCCAAAAGATTAAAGCCATTTTAGAGTGGGAAGTTCTAAAGAATGTGTCAGAAGTCTGGAGTTTTCTGGGGTTAGCTGGTTATTACCGAAGATTTGTTAAAACTTTTCGATTATAGCATTACCCCTAACTAAATTATTAAGGAAAGAGGTAAAATTTGTGTGGACTCCGGAGCGCCAAGAAAGTTTTGAAAGGCTAAAGAAGATCTTGACAGAAGCTCCAATGTTGATTCAACCCGAGCCTAGCAAGAACTTTGTAGTGTATAGTGATGCGTCTTATAATGGCTTGGGATGCGTGCTAATGCAAGAAAGTAAAGTGGTATCTTATGCATCGAGGCAACTCAAATTGCATGAAAAGAATTATCCCACGCATGATCTAGAGATGGTTGCAGTAGTATTTGCACTTAAGATCTGGTGTCACTATTTATATGGTGAAAAGTGCTACTTGTATACAGATCACAAGAGTTTAAAGTACTTGATGACTCATAAAGAGTTGAATTTAAGACAAAAGAGATGAGTGGAATTCTTAAAAGATTATGATGTAGTGATTGATTTCCATCCAGGAAAAACAAATGTGGTAGCAGATGCTTTAAGTCGGAAGACGTTTGCAGCCTTAAGAGCTTTGGATGCCGGACTATCATTAAGGGGAGATGGTGCCATATGTGCAGAATTGACTCTCAAGCCATTATGGCTAG